GCACATGCAGGATCCATCTCAAGATGGAGAAAAAAAACATCTTTGCAACAGCTGCATCCTGAAGGAGAGACATAGCAGCACATGGCCGCATGTACCATTGCAGACTGAAAGGTCAAGTGATCAGGAATGTTTAAGAGAGAATTTGAATTTGAATGAGTTTTATAAAGCCGAGGAAGACATATTCTACAATTTTCACTATTTCAAACCATACTTTTAATATTATTTATGTTTTTTCTGTAATGGCCATTAAATGTCTTTACATTGAATAATTACCTCTCAATATAGCAGTTGTCATTGTTACTGGCAGGGTCCGCCATTCCTGACCTCAATATTTATTAAAGCTGCTATAGTTCATATGTTTTTTATTAAAAATGTACTAAATTATGTAATGGAAGGTGTCAGTCATAGCTATTAACCCACAAAACTGGCTATCTTTATGTACCTATACGGAATCTTTCAGCTATCTATGTAACCACCCAGCTTAACCACTGCCTTCCCAGCAACAAAGGTTGACAGACAAAGTTAGTGACTAGCTGGAGAACACAGTGGAGATTTAATAGCTAAAAAAAACCCAGATAAAGTAAATATATTTGTCCAGTGGCAAGAAACACAACTCCAAATAAATGATAATGTTGCTCTGTTGTGCTGAGTGTGAGAATATGTGAATTTTGTGTTTACAGCTTATCCCCAAGTGGCAATGTTTAAACATTATATTAATAGATAAATGTAAAAACATTCTTTTTGGTGGCTAGTCAACGGTTTCTTGGAGGGGTGGAATGTTCTAATATCCTGGGCTGGAAGCAAAGAGAATCTCATGAGAGTGACTGAGCTGTAAATGAGGAGAAAGAAGTGTTCAGTCTTGGAAGTCATTCAATACACCCACTGCTGGATTTTTGCTAAAATTAAACATGTGACGGATACTATTCCCTGCCCTGTGGTCGATTACGTGACCGGCTACCTGAACCTCCCATTGCTCCGTCCCTGAGGTTCAATTATGATTTAGCTCAAATCTCATCATTTTAATAGCACTATAGTGAATTACACCACACAGACTGGCATTTGATTGACGCAGTGGGTAAACTTGATTATAATGGAGGGGTGGGCAGTAGCAGCATCCTGCACAATCAGAGCCCCAAATGTGATATAAACAGTTTTTTAAAAAAGCAAAACCTTCTCAGAATACATAATGATATTGTTATATGACTCCAGTTGCAACTTGATCCTCTGTTTTTGGGTTATTCAGTGCAGGGTTTGGTTTGAATATAATATTGCGTGCAGTGCCAGTTAAGCGCTCTTGTAATGTCACATCCTGCCCAGCATGTAACTATTGGCTTGTCTCTGTAGCCCAGCAGCCAGTATTTTATCAGAAAACAAACAAAAGCATTTCCAGTCTGATTGTTTTATGTGATTCATTGTGTCCAACATTTTGTTTTTGTATGGTATTACAGTTTGTAGCCATAATTTCTTCCTCTTGCTAACCTTTTTATTGGCAGCAGTACAAAATAAAGTTCTCTGTACCATAAGTGACGTGTTTACACTTGAAGGTATTCATGTTTGTTCCAGCACTGACTGACTCAAGGCGTGCCAAAAAATCACCCCAGACCACACACACATTATATTTTCAGGACTGGTAGATATAAAGGAGAGGGAGAAAAAGTTTTCATCAACCTCTCAACCTGCCATGACCTCACCGACAGACATATTGTTTGGTAAAGTACAGGTGCTCTATCACTGCCTCCCACTGTGTCAGAGTGATTGCTTGCACAGTAGCCTTGGCCAAGGACTGATTTAAAGGTTGCGGTTGTTCCAGGTCACACAGAGTTCAGGACACATGGAGGTAAACGCTCACATATCTTGTTGAATGAATCTCAGCTGTCCAGAGATGATAGCACGGCCCTTTGTGGCTTTGAGAAATGTGGCTGAAACTGACTGTCGATGGAGCTGAGCATACGCATTAGGCGGCAGAACTAAACAGCAAAACCTGTCTAAATTTAACAATGCACATTACTTAACTCTAAGTTTATTACAGTCTGACTACAACTGTGTCTGCTAAGAGAGACTTCAAGCTCATTTCCTGTATTTGTTTCTTTGTATCTCTTTTAGGTTAAGGCTCCAAAGAGTCCATATTAAAATCAAAATGAAAACATTTACAACACTATTAGGCCTTTACTTCCCCAAATAGTTTGTCACAGTGCACTGACACACTCCCTAGTACACGTCTACATCATCAGGGGTGAGGAACTCTTTAAGCAACAAGTACAAGTAGTTCTATTCAGACAGCTAACTATATAAGGTATATTTTATAGAGAATAACATTAGCATATTGATTATGAGTATCTTGGAGATTCCTATCCATGAAATAGTGCATAAATAAGATGTATAAAATTCAAAACTTTTGTCAAAAATAGCAATCAGACATTCACAGTTTACGGTGGGCCTCCAGTATGGCCACCAGAGGGTATGTTATGTCACCCAAAAGCTCTTTAATCCAACCGGGCGCACAGCTGGTGGGTCAAGATAAGCAATGACCACCGATATGTAACTGTAAATGTTGAAGCAGTCTGCAATTCTCTCTGCTCGTACCACTCCTGCTTTCAATGGAGCAACGAAAAGAGATACTTTAATGGGAAATGTATGCAAAATGTATGCAAAATGTTTGAGCGTATGTTAAACTAAGTCCGTTTTTAATCCAGTGAAGTGTGAGGGAATTCATACTATATGCGTGGAACAAATATCTGGCTCACCAAGGCATAACAGAGGCATGGGCTGCAGGATCATTATGTAAGGTGGTTAATTTAGAGCCAGGGAGGGATTTTAAACTGCCAGCTATGATGCACATAACATATTGAGTGAGTTTTATTCCAAATCCAAACACTCCAAAAACTGGGTTCTTTTCCAAATATAACAGTTTGCTGGCTAGAAAAATCGGAAAGGCATGTTACTATGTTGCATTTAGACAACTTTCCGTCAAAATCCTGATATTTCGCAAAAAGTAATGGTGTTATAATATTATTATATTATGCGGCTCAGGAGGTAAAGCGGGTCGTCCAGTAATCAGAAGGTTGGTGGTTCGATCACCAGCTCCTCCTGCGGCGTATCAAAGTGTCCTTGAGCAAGATACTGAACCCCAGATTGCATGTGTGTGTGACTGGGTGAATGTAGCATGTAGTGTACAAGCGCATTGTGTGGTTGAAAGACTAGAAAGGCGCTATACAAGTAGAGTCCACTTACCATTTACCATATTATAATCACTGCTGAAAACCACAGATTCATTATGAATTTATATTGTTTTCTTTTTCCATTGTAAATGCAGCTGAGGAGCTCATACAGGAAAAGGTTTGGTCATCCAATGTCAACACAAATGAGAGTCTATGTGTTTCAGTTGGGGAAACTATTACATAATCACAGAGCTGATGAGTGATGTTCTGGTTCTCAGATGCTCTGCTCTGGATTTGGAGTAGATTACAGTATGGTACAGTCTCAGCTGTGTCATGTTTATTTTCCCCCTCTGCTCCTCTATAAAAGAGTTCATTATGTATTCCAGCATAGAAAACAGAATGACGCAAGTTCACTATTTCATGGTTAAAGTGGAAGAACTGGAAATCATCAAAGCCTGAGAAGGGCTGGAGAAGAGAAAGAGAAGAAAAGAAACTCTAGAATATTTGTAGAAAACGTTTATTCATACCTAAATTCTTTTGTGTACCGTATGGCTCATTATACAATATTAGGTGACCTTAAACTTTATGCATATAAACTTTTTATCACACCTGTTAAATCTATATTTAAGTAAAACTTCTACACACCAAATGCTGAATAAAGTGTGCTCAATTTTGTTAAACTCATGCCAAATCAACCTTGTACCCACAACTCAAATACAATTTATTGAATGGTTATTTATGTGCGTTAAATATAATAGCCATTACATAATGTGAACAATATGCTACAGTAGAAAGAATACTTTGAACTACAATGATGTCTGTGATGAGACTTTATAATTGTCTGATTACACTTGAAATCTTAACACACGTGTATTTATTTACCATACATGGAAGGAAATGTCCATAATATCCGGTGTTAACCTATATGACCCTGACACACTTCTGCTGAATGCAACTATGCTGTCCACACTGTTACTTACAACAAACGCAAAGTGGGCAAAAGCCCCAAAAGTCCCAGGTTCTCTGTGCAACAATCGCTTTTCAGTCATTTGATTCATTCCTAATTTGTTCTGGAATCTGCACCATTAAATGAGATGCATGTTTACCTCATTTTGAGTGAGTGAAAATCTAATTCTATGTCTGTTATAGTTTGAGTTTGTACTGTGCTCACATGCTGTCCATTCCTAAATGAAGTTGAGTTTAGTCAAATCACCACAGACTTGGGTTTCTTGGTCTCTGGGGTGTACAGTGAAGCTATATGCAATGAACTTAATGTGGATTTATAGGCGACATTCATGATGCACAGAGGGTGGGATGGGGGGCTCAAATTCTTGCCCCAGGGCCCCCTTACAGGTTCATTTTGCCATGCTAACAGCGATAATTTAGTTAATGAAATACTCTTTCACTCACTGGAGTCAACTTACAGTTTACATTTTATTAGCAAATGTTGGCAAACTGCTGGTGAAATAAAACTCTCATTCTTCCATGGCAGGAGGGGACGTCAAACCCCCCCCGAGGAGCCTCTGGGGGAGACTCAGTAAAGGTTTGGACCACCAGACCTCTCTCTCTCAGGATGGAGGTCTCATTGTTGGACCCCTTCAGGTCCTTCGTCCCCCCCCCCTCCCCTCCTCCCTGCCGTTGTAACTCCAGGTGTGTTTGTTTACCTGCTGGCTCGTGCCCAGGCGGGAAGGCTAGCGCGTTCGGTTCAGTTCCACGAGCTCAACAAGGGTGGACCGTACCACTGTGAGTCCTTGGTGGAGGGTGGAGCCAGAAAGGGGAAAAAAAACGCGCTGTGCACTCCCGATAGCGCGTCGGCGTTTGGTCTAGTCCAAACCGGAGCTGTTGCAAGGTGTATCAAACATAAACCCTCTACTTGTTTTCACTCAAATAAACCAGCGCACTCGGGTTTGTTGTTGATTTATTTGGCAGGTAACTTTTTTTTTTTTCCCCCCACCCCTAAAAAAACTCCATCGCTCCATCTTGCCTTTTGATTGACCGCTCCATATTTTTCTCTCTCTCTCTCTCTCTCTCTCTCTCTCTCTCTCTCGCTCCGTGCTGAATTTTCCTCCTGCTGGAGAAAAAGGGAGAAGAAAAAAAAACAACACTGGGGGAAACTGAGAGGAAGAAGGCACAGCGGAAAATAGAGGAGGTGGAGGAAAAAGTGAAATAACAGGAGATTAGCGGGAAGATTTAAGGAGCAGGTTGGGAAGAGAAGCAAGAAGACATTTTGCAAGTGGAGAACGAGACTTGCCATATATATTCTTTTTTTCTAAAGAAGTCCCTGCCTTTGTGTGAAGATTTCTTTTGTCTCCCATACGCTGATTTTAAAAGGTGAGTTTATCTTATCCCGTTTTGAATCTATCCCAAGTGGTTCAGTTCTTTGTGTGTGTCCCCCCCCACTGGAGAAAGTCAGGGAGTTGCCTGTGTAGATTTGTCATTGTCCATGCAACAGTCGTGCAACGAGGCAATAAAACGAGAAAAATAAATGTGCTTTTTTCTTTTTTTGTTTTTCTTGGAGGGCTTTGGCAAGGGAGGGGGGGAGAGAGAGAGGGTCTGTGTTAGAAATATGCATGGATGCACGGTTGACCCTGCAGTTTAATAATGCATAATGCAAGCCTATGTCAAAGTAATCAGTGCTCCCCCCCCAATCGTCCTCCCTCCCCCTTGTTTTCCTCCCTTGAATCCGGTAACACGCTGCTCGGTCCGATATTAACATAAAATAATTTAAACTCTGCAAGACATTAATATTTAAATATCTGCTGACAAGCACCGGGGGGGGTATTTAAATGAATGTTTGCATGCATGTTGTGCGGTCTGATGAGAGTGCATGTGCGATAGACAGAGTGCGTGTTATTGACGCGCACATGTGGCACAGCCAGCGGGTCTTTGTTCCTCCCCCCCCCCACCTCCCTCCGACCCAGGCATGACAACTCAATGGCACGGCTCGAGAATATAGGGCAATATTGACATTCTCTTGCAGCATGAACTTGAATCATATATGAACCTGACCTCCCCCTCCCCCTCACTCCCCTCCTCCTCCTCCTCCTCCCCCCTCTTCATCCCTGTCTTATATTCCAGCCAACAGGCGCATCACTGCTCTCCCTTCTTCTTTGTAGTGTTTAAAAATCACTCCCCACAGAGCTGCAGCGCTGGCAATTTCATGGTTAAATACTTTTTTTTTTCGTGATAGAAAGCTTGTTTTTGTCTCTCTCTCTCTCTAAGAGGAGGACGTAGTTAGTTTGGGGGTCTGCTCGGGGTGAGTGGAGGGTGGGGGGAGTCGAGAGGGGGCTGTTGTGGCTCTCTCGGCGCGCCAGACGAGGGGATATAATGTGTGTCAATGTCAAATGGAGGTGTGTCCCCTGTGTGTGCGTTCACTGGCCCCTGTGCTGGCTCGGATAAAAAAAAAAAACTGAGAGAGAAAATAAAATGCAGCAACGTCCTGGAAAAAGACGCGTTTCCCTTATGGAATACGTTAAAGCCTGGAAATGTGGAAATGTTTTGCTTCAGTGTGTCGTGCCAGACCGAGGAGACACACACACACACACACACACACACACACACACACACACTCACACTCCTCTCCTCTGTCTACACACCCGCTCCACAGACAGGTTTTCACTATGCTGCAAGCACGCACGCACGTACTCAAGCAAGCTCGCGCGCAGATTCTGTGAGTCATACCGCATTTGGAGACTCGCGGCCCCACTGCTCTTTGAGTGAAGTGGAGCCCCCTGCTGATAACGCGCACACACGCGCGCGCGCACACACACACACACACACACACACACACACACACACATGGAGCGCAGACGGGCTCTCCTTGCAGTAGACGCTGCTCCTGGGGTTGTGCATTCAGGTGGAGGCAAGTGCAGGCGCGCGAAGACGCACGCGCGCACAGGCTCTCCACGAGCTATGGCAGAAATGATAGACTGCGTTGAGACGTAGAAACGCAGCCACACACACACACACACACACACACACACACACACACACACACACACACACACACAGTGTACTGTTTGTCTTTCTTGGTTGGAGTTGCTGGTGGGTGTGGTGTTACCAGCAGCCTCGTGCCCATAATGTTGTGGCTGTTCATTTCAAATGAATCTTCAGTATTATAGAATGAGTGGCCACGGAGGATATTAAAGGGTCAGTTCGCCCTAATTTCAGCTCACCCATGCACATAGTTGTGGTGTGATCCGCTGAGGTTTTGAGATATCTGCCTCAATGCAATCGATATCTTAGGAGAAAGTAGCTCCGATTATGTAAACTTTCATTTGCAGTGCCGGTTTCACAATGTCACTTTTCCCCCCTCTGTGCAGCGCAAACAAAAATCCCTTCACCTCTATCGTAGGAAGACATCTGAAAACCCCAGCAGATAAGCCCAGAGCTATCTGCACGGCAAGATACCACTATCCACAAGTAAGAGGATATGTTTTTATGAATTAATTTCCAGCTGATGCCTACCATAAACCACCAGTAAATGTAAACTTTTAAACCTCAAGTAAGCCTACAGTGTTCTGTATCCGGGTGTGCTCATAAGTGCAGCTCTGATTGTTCGATATAATAACTTTAAATAGATATTTTGACATCAGTGTCTCTGTTGTCTCGGTGTTAGTGGGCTCATCATGTTGGTGGGAAGACATGTTTGTAGACTTCAAATGCTTTGCCTCCGACCTGTTCCAGCATTAGAGATCTTGGGGTTTTTATAGAGGTCACAAGAACACTTTGTTCTGCTGTACATTTCTTTATTTCAGTACCACAGATGTTGAGCTGCAGAACCGCTCTTGTGTAAGAGTGACTCACTACTAAAGCCGTCATATGGACCCAGGGATGTTCCCAACGCGGAGAAAATATATGAACCAACAACTCAATCAATAAACAAAAATCTAACAATACATCGTTCTTCTGAAACCTTTAGTCAGTTCATTTATCAGGGGAATGACAAAATGATTCAATTATTTATTTCCTTTGGGGTTTTGTACTGATCAGATGGTTTAAACACAGATTTGTCTTCATTAATAGGCATTTTATAGACCTATTAATCAAATTAATCAAACAGCTAAACAATAGGTGAATCAATAAAGCAACCCACAACAAATTTATCTGACATACAGTCAATATACAGGCCCGATTATTTCCCCCACCAACTCAAGAAAATCTGATACCGAGGCTTTGGACTTAACTATTGGACTTTTTGTGGAAAAACTTGTTGGTGTTGATCTCCTATCACACCCAGGTCATAGCGAGGACACTGGCAGTTGAGGTGTCACGGCGGTGATTTGTGGCGTTTTGTTTGTTTTTCTGTAGTCGTGTCATACGGTAATCTGTCAGGGCCAAAAATAAACCCTTCAGCTGGAACAGTTGCCCCTCCGGTCTGACGCTACACCCCTGAGTGTTTGTGTTCTGGCCAGACTAATAATCCAAGGAGATCAACTTGTTTACATCTTTAAACTGCGGCGGATGGGAGCAACTTCACTTCAGAATAAATGGTGACTCATTAGCTTTCATATGTGATTATTTGACTTTTGACAAAAGAAAGTTTGTTAATGTAAAAACTATAGATGGTGACCATGTCTGTTAATTCAAGCGGCCACGTTTCATTGCCTCTGCACCGCTGAACTTGTTGCTATGGTGGCTATTGACCAATGTGACCTCATTACAGAGTGGTTGTACCATCATCGGGCATTGTCTATGTTCATTCGGATTGTCAGTGACAGCTTGACCTTTTACACTCCAGTCAGAGTCAACTTAAAGGTCCACAAGGTTCCACACAAGGCACAATTCCCAACATTTTTTCAAGTTTATGCTGAAATTATAAACTCTTGCTGAATAGAAGAAGTATTACAGCTTTACTATGTGATGTTTGAAAAACATCTTAAAAATGTAAAGTGGACTTCATAGAGAATAAAACACTTGAGATTTTCCTGCTTAAGCCTTAATTGACCATTAGCCTGTGGTGGGTAAGGTTAGCAGACTTATGACTGACATCATGCTCTTGGGTAATGTTACACCAACTGTCGGCTTTGTTGTTTTGTAAAGCACTTTGTGCCACTAAACAGCGCTAAACAATAAAGTTTATCATCCTCATCATAATGATTTCAGTAGTTGTATCACAGGAGTAAAGCGAGAAGTAAACATAAAGTACCTCAGCTGGAAAATAATATCCGAAACGTACAATGTGTGAAGGGGAAATGAAAGTAAAGAGTGGAGGAAAATAAGAAAACTTATACCGCGAGATGAAGCTGCATATTTGCTCCATTTGCCAAAGCACAAATGCACTTCCTCTGCGTATTCAGACTGTCACCTGCCTGTTGACTCTACCAATATTAACATTTACTCCCGCAGTGTTTGCTAATCCATCAGTGTTGACTGCGGGGAAAGACGATATGCTTGACCTGTTAGAGTGGTCACAGTTGTACAGTGGTGAGGCATTAAAAGTTCAGATCACGGTTCTGACCTTCTGTGTTGGGGATGGGTCATTACTTAGGAGACAATTCTGGTTTTGACAATGAAACAGTTCTATAAAAATATGAAATGGTTCAAAAAGGACTTCAAACGAGCTATGTGATAAATTAACCAAGCCTCCTACGTGTTGTATCAACTTCGGTTGCATGGCACTAAGGTCCAGTAGCTGCTAAGAAACAGACAGACACTGTTGAAAGGTAGATTAATGCGTGGATATGTTGCAAAGTAGGCCAGTAAACAGCTATAATTGGACACCAAGCATTGCCTCAGAGGTGGATTCAGGTCCCAGAATATCATGTAATAAAATTTTGTTGTCATCTCAACCGAGCGGAAATAGTCTTTGTCCTTATGTCGAGGTGTTGACGACGCTGAAATGATCTCCTCTCTAAGTGCGCGCCAGCTGTTGGTTTATACCGGCTTGTCAGTGTTGTGACTGCATCTCAGTGTAGCTGCGACGCCAAAGCCGCTGATTAAATGTGAAGTATTGTTGTAGTAAGTAGACTGCGGTATGGTGTTTGATGGTGTTTTTCAGTGCTGCCGGTGTTATGGAGCTGATGTCGATGTCCGTGGGTGTAATTGCCTCTTCAGACTTGGAGATTTGTTTACTGCTCACGTTGAGTATGGCTGTTCATTTATAGCAGAGGTTCTCAAAAGTGTTGGCGGGCTGATAGGCACTTTAATTAGTTTGCCACTGGAACGAGCATGAACATCTCTGATGGGAAAGAAATGAGGAGATAAAGTACATTTCGAAGCTGTGTTAATTAATATTTTTACATTGATAATGCATCAAATGACAAGGGGCTCGATGGTCTTTCAGCTCGCTATTTTGTTGTTTTCTGACCTGCAAACTCCGCCCTAATAAAACTTGTTTACTAGCTTCAGCAGGCAGCTGATTTCAATGTGAAAGGCTCACATAAACGTGCTGTATGTCTCCTGTTCAGCATCACAGTTAGACAAAGAATGACAAAGTTAGCAACTCCAAATCCAAATGAATGCCAATGTTGCTACATGTTTGCTGGATAGGGATGTAACGATGCACTCAACTTACGATTTCGATACAAGGAACGATACTGGGTTTACTATATGATTTTACAAAGAGATTGAAGAGAAATTCTGACTGAAAACTTTGCTCTTGCTGGATGTGTAAATAGTCAACTGGTCGCTAGCACATTTGCTATATTAATTAAATATTGTTGTGTTTCCAGCTTGTTGCGATGCTCCCAACCGGCCAAAATATGAATAAATGCAGCTTTAAATGTGTGTTTTGTTCAGTCTTTCATAACTCCATAGTTACATGGTTTCCTGCAGCAGGACCTTTTAACGTTAATGTTATAATAAGCAAGGAATCTCATCTTTGAAAATATTGTGAAATCAATCAGACCAGTCAGACAATATAGTACTAGTTCAGATGTGTGTGTGAAACATTCACTGTTCAGGCCTTTCAGATGTTACTATATGATGCTTTTCTTTGTCATTAATGATTGTAAATGGAATATCTATCAATCTATCTATCTTGCTATTTCTTACATTTTATTTATATTAAAATGCATTGATGAGTTATATATAAGGAAAAGCCCTCCTGCTATCCTTTTTACACGCTCCAGTTGTATCTTGTATTGCTCATCTGAGTGCAGCTACTGTAATTAATGTTGTCTAATGTTGCACTTCTCCTTGTTGGCACCAACAGAAACATTGATTCTTCTCTGTTGACAGTAGATTCAGCTCAGTGTGTTAAAAACTGGCCAACATGACACGAGAGACCATTGAAAATACAAAACAAACAGTGAAATCTGTGCTCACGGGCTACTAAAAATGAATTGTTTGGATGGAAACCAAACTCAGACCCGCATCTGCGCCTCTGTTAGGAGGATTGTACTCTTGTACTTTTGTGAATAGCTTGTAAAGAAGAAAAATATGAATATCCACCATCAGTTTTATCATTTATTCCTCATAAATAGTCCAGAAATTGGTGAAATATATTTGTTGTACCACTTCTTTAAATCATTCTCAGAATGCAGTGCCTTATTTAAAGCACATGAGAATATTAAAGAACTTGTGTTTAAACATTGCCTGGGTAATTGGAAGATATGGGTCAGGTATTTTGATATGCCTCCTGCTATTTCTGTGGTCTATACTCGTAAGGTTTTTGTAACATGAGCTCAGATGTATTTAGCTGTACATTAGCTGATGGCAACGTGGAGCAATGTTGCTCACTGCGTAGGTGTCTGCGATCAGTCTAGTCTGAATAAATACTGACCATGTGAGTAACATTTCTGTGTCTATTTCATCTGAATTGTTACCATCCGAGTCTTGGCCAGTGGTAGCGTCTAGTGCATATTAGTCTGGGTGTTTATAAAAAATGTGGATTTTTTATATTTCTATGTTCTGTGTAGGTGTACTTAGAGCATAACAGTCTCAGCATCTGGATGAGTGCGTATGGATTTGATACTGTGTAGGTGTATGAGATTACAGCAGTCTTCATACGCTAGCATCTAGGCCAGTGTGTGTGTTTGCGTGGAAGTGTGTGTGTGGGTGTGTGTGTGTGTGTGTGTGTGTTTGAGGGGCAGCTCAGTTCTTCGCCTAATGGCTAGAGGCCAGATACAGATAGGCCAAGCCGCACAATGGCCCTGTCTGTTCCCACGAGTCCAAACAGCCCTTCACAACACCCTATTTATAGACAAACGCTCTGCCCAAACTCCATTCATATTTCTTAGGTTGGATGTGCGAGTAGAGTGTGCACGCATCTCTGTTTTTTACTAAAAACTGAACTGCGCTGTGCGAATTTCACACTCCGTCCCTGTGATTTTTGATTCGAGGCGGCCTAAATACATCCAAATGTGCATTCAGTCTGGTGCTGTCAGAGGCGACGGTTCACAATGTGTGTTTGGTTCACCAAGTGAGCATTCCACAGCGCGCGGTTACATAATCAGGAGTGTTTGTCAATAGATCCACAG